CTTAATTTGATTATTACATTTAATACATAATTTATGAAAATGATATGAAAGAAGAAATTTACAATTATCACAACTATGTAATTCATTCCATAATCCAAAATACTCACAACATATATTTTTTGAATACTCTTTTTCAATTCTATTTTTTTTATTATAAAAAATACAATTTATATCACATTGTGTATTTGAAACAGTGATTTGATCTAGTGAACAAAATTTATGACACTTGTCACAGATTCTTCTATGTTGATATTTAACATATTTCTTATCATATAAATGAAATTTCATTGATGGATAAATGATACAGTATATTTTTCCACTAGTTTCTTGTTTTATTATTTTTCGCTTTTTATGTTCAGAATTAATTTGATTTTTAAACCAAAACCATTTTTCATTAAATTTTTCAATATCAAATAAAGTATATTGATGTTTTGTTTTTTCATTATCAATAATTTTTTGATATTGAAACAAAACATGCTTGTCAATATCGATTGTTGTGATTAATGATTCAGAAAAATAAACATATCTTATATGTTTATCATAAATATAAAAAAAACAATTTAAAAATATTCGAGATACTCTTCGTACATGAATCTGTTTTTTGAAAAGTAAACATGAAAATATGATCAATAATAGTTCAGTTGGTAAACTATCAAGTTTAACTTTCATAATCGATCAGTTTACAATAAAAAAAATCTATTCGGTCTTTGACTGAATAGATAATTTTAATTCATTATATAATGAATCAAACTTTATTTTAGCATCTAACTTTAATAATTGAGAGTTATAATTTACTTGCTTCCATATATCGATATAATCAATACTTTTCTTTTGTTTTAAATTTATTTCTGCTCTTTCGAACATATAATTAACAATAAATATTTGATCATTTTCATTATTACTTGCTTGAATATTCCAAGCAGAATCAACTATCTGATCAGAAATTTGTTTTATTTTTTCAAGTTCATTTATATTTATATTTATATAAATAAAATTCTATTCGGTTCGATAACTGAATAGATAAATATGTTTATTTAATAATAATAAATAAAATAGAATAATAAAATAATTTAATTTGGACTAGATTTTATATTTTCATCTTCACTACTACTACTTTCATCTGTAATCTTTTCTTCTATCTCATATGTTTTTTTTTGTTTTTTTTTTGTTTTAACAACACCATTTTTTACTACTAAAATTTCTTTTTCAGTTTCTACACCTTCAATTTCTACACCTTCAATTTCTTTACATTTTTTATTTGCTGCACTTCTCTTTTTACTTTCAGCATTTCGAATTGCACAAAATTTCTTATTAATTACTTCTGATATAATTGACATATGTTCTTTAATAAAATCAGTCATATCATACTCTACTAATTTTTTTAAATCTACCAAAATCCATTCAGAATGATTATCTTTTTCAGTATGTTGAAGGATTTAATTAGTAATTATATAATAAATTACTGTATGATATAATATTTGCTGTTCTTCAGAATCTGGAAAAACTCAAAATCCTTCAATAGTACTAATTATTGTTAAATCTTCTAATTTAATATTAACTCCTACTTCTTCCTTAGCTTCACGAATTTCACAATCCATATAAGATACATTTGAATTTTTACCACTACCTACTACTTGCCATTTATTGTAATAATCTTTAAATGGATTGATATGTTGACTGATCCAAACTTTTTTATCTTTATTAACAATAATTAGAAAACTAAAATTATATATATTTTTTTCAAGTTTACTAATATTATCTTTAGCATCTTTTGCTAAATTTTTGTTAATAGTCATTTCTGACTCAACTAGTATAAGAAGTTCATTATAATAATATCTATTTTTTTTTATTTCTTCTAATGTTTCTTGCCATGATAATAATTTAGAACGATGTTCATCATAAAGAATTTGGATTTTTTTTAAACTAAGATAAATTTGATAAAGATCAATAGTGTTATTATTATTTTGAGTCATTGTTAAAATTATGTATTTAAAATCTAACTGGTTTATAAAACTAGTTAGATGTTTATTAAAAAAAAATAAATATATAATATATTAATCATCATTATCATCTATTCATAATTCTTCATTCTCAAAAACAGGAACACCATTAATTAAAAATGCATTTTGTTTAGTAATATAATTTGGTAAAATATTATTTAGTCTAATACAAATACATTTTTTTTCATTACAATTTGAATATTTTTTATCAAGAACAACAAATCCATCATCTGAAATATATGATGATTTTGAAGAAACTGAACATAGTTCAGAATGAATCGATTCAATATCAAAATCTTATACATTGTATAATTTATTTTTACATTTAGTACAAAATTTTGGTTTTCGAAATGTATTACATTTCTCACAATATAAGATTTTAAATTTTTTTTGATATGACCAT